GCCATATCACAAACAGCCTCCATCCACTGGTTCATAGTATCTTGACGTCTCCATTGAGGGAGTCTACACCTTCCTACATGGTTAGCTTCAGCTAACTGTCAACGAATTCATTTAAGCACTCCTAACTCTTTTCCAATCTAGTCTCTCCTATATGAGCCAACATTTCACTCTGAGAAAGGTAGCGGCTCTGAATGCGTAACACGTGTTCTAGCCGTATTAATCGATTGATTTTCCCTCCTAACCCAACATAGTGTGTAACAACAGAACACAAGGGCCAGGCAACAGATCGTTTATTAAGGAAAATCAACACATATTTATAGATTTTAATGTACATTATTGTAGATTATTGTTAGTAGAAAATACAGTCTTTTGATTGGTTGTTTCTCACAGAAAGTTAACCTTGCATCTCTTTGTGGCTGTGTCAGATCATCCATATGCTAACTGTATCCGCCTACGCGAAGCCTTTGTTCTCATTTTCTTATCACCAATATTGGGGACATAAACATTGACGTTAATTACTGTCTACCAACTTTGGCTAGCAGGCAGCTCTCACCATAGTATAACTGACTTACTTAGTTTCGATGTAGAACACAAAGGCTGGAGAAGGAAGAGATTCAAGAGAACTATAACAAACAGAAATGTGCGGGAGAAACAATAATTATATATGGAGAATAATTAGGACTTGATGTATTCGGGAAGATTGCAAAAAGTGAATACATGTGCTCTGTTGAGAGCGCTATTGAGCGATATCATCAATGGTCTCCATGCACTGGTTCATAGTATCTTGACGTCTCCATCGAGGGGGAGTCTACACCTTCCTACATGGTTGGCGTCAGCTAACTGTCAACGAATTCATTTGAGCACTCCTAACTCTTTTCCAATCTAGTCTCCTATATGAGCCAACACTTCTCCCTGAGAAAGGTAGCGGCTTGGAGTACGTAACACGTGTTCTAGCCGTATTAATCGATTAACTTTCCCTCCTAACCCAACATAGTGTACAGGAATGGTTTAATATTTAGTGCAGTACATCAATTGACGAAATTTAGCCTTGTTCATAACAACTTTTTATAGGATAAATCGCTTGAAGGCGGAATGACCTGACTCCAGAAGATAGGTGTTCACAGATAGAAGACTTCGTCATCTTATGTTGAGTTACGCGTTTCCTGAGAAAATGCCTATAACGCCCGATGTAATCACCTGCACGGGAATCTGTGAAAATTTAGACAGACATAAAGGTGGACATAAGCGGTAGTTTAGCCTTCACGCATTATCGAAATCGTACTTCGGTTAGAGAATACTGTGTGTGTGTGAGTCAGTGGCATGGAAAGGGCGTTCAGTACACATGAATAGAAGAGTTTTAATTACTTTGGCGATAGTATTACTTTTAAATGTCAAACTCATGCATAGTGATCTTCTTCCCTCATATTTGTTTTTTTTGAATAATAAAGAGTATTGTATGAATGGTTTTCCAGGTTCTTTGTCGACCACATCTTTCGAACAGATGTTTTCAGAATAAAAATAATAATTAGAGCGAACAAGTGTTTTCTTCCTCATACCCTACAATTATGAATGCATGAATTTTAGCCTACAATTGCCATCAGCTCCAACGGGTTGATCTCTGACGAAATCTCAGCACGGATACAGAGGGCTAGTTTCGCATACGCTAGTTTACGCCGTCTCTGGCGTAGGCGTGATATTCTGTTGGCTGCCGACCGAAAGGCGTGTGTACTGCTCATCAGTTCGCTCTGTCCTCCTTTATGGCTGTGAGACCTGGCCATTAAGAGTGGAAGACATGAAAAGGCCGGCTAGCTGTCTTTGATCATAGGTTCCTGCGTTCTATCTCCCGTGTGAAGTGGTATAGTTATTATTATTATTATTATTGTTTCCTTTAATTCCTAGAGGAACATAGGGCTTCAGCCGTGCGTCTCCATTGCGTTCGGTTTTCTGCTAGAGTCTTCACCTGGCTCCAAGTCCGCCCACACGTTTTCATCTCCTCTTCACATGACCTCCTCCAAGTCACCCTTGCACTGACGACCAACTCGCCGCTTCCCTTTCGGGTTCCACTCGAGTAGTGGCTTGTCTAGTGATGTCACTTGATGGTTTCCTTAGAGTATGGCCAATCCATCTCCATTTCTTCCTGCCTATTTGTTTCACAATCGGCTCCTGGTTGGTTCGCTCATTGCCACAGATCTCTATTGCTGATCTTTTCTGGCCATCTGATGTTGATTAGTATTAAGCGAAGACAACTGTTAATGAAGGTCTGTAGTTTGTTTGAGATGCTCTTTATGACGCGCTGGCCAAGTTTCTGATCCCTGTAGTAAGTAGCACTGACTTCACATTTGAGTTGAAAATCCGTATCTTATTTTTGATGCTGAGTAGTGCTGTTGACCTGCACACAGACTTGAGAGTAGTGAAAGCTTGTCTCGCTTTTCTGATTCTTGCTTTGATATCCTCGTCAGTTCCGTCCGCCTGTAGTTGAAACGATGCTTCCCAGGTAGGTAGGTGAAGGAGGTTGTTTCTTTCAGGTTCCTTCCATTTATGCTGATTGTTGTCTGTCTGAACATGAGATAAAATGTAATAATTCAAGATGTCTATACATATAGTCAACAAATGTGCAAGTTTCAAGGCTGAATGTAGTCAGTGGTGTGAAAGGCGGTATGAATACTACAGAGACAAAAAATAACCAACAAATGGTACAGACTAGACATAATAAAGAATTTAATGAAGTGGAGTGAACAGGATTGTGTAAATATAATAACAAGTTTTAAAAGTACTACGTAAACCTGGGAACAATCGACATAATACTGTAACTACAGAAAACCAGGACCAGGCAACAGATCCTTTATTGAGAAAATCAAGAGATATTTATAGATTTTTATGTACATTATTGTTAGTGTGGAGAAGCAACCTCTTCTGATTAGTTGTTTTCTTGTTCAAGGTTATCTATCCTGTACTGCTTGTGACCGTTTCTTAGACAGTCCAGTCATATATCTGCGAATCGCATCCGCCCACGCAAAGTCTGCTGTGATTGGTTGTTGAGTTCCTCAAGGTAAGGCGGCTTTGTTCTTGCTTTCTTTTTTCTCATGACCAAGATTTATTTGGGAAGTAAAAATTGACGTGTAAATTGCTGTCTACCCCAATTTTGGCTAGTAGAGACAGCTCTCACCAAATCTTGATAATGTTGATGTTGACGATATAAAATGAAATTATTCTCTCTGTGTTTCTTTTTTGTACTTCCATTTGCTTTCTTTTTTTTACAGGAAAAAGTATCAGCCGATAATTATAATCTTGCGTGTATTTTAACATTACCACCGTTTCAAAGACGAGGTTATGGGCATTTTTTAATCAGTCTTAGTAAGTGTTTGGATGAAAAGTATTGCCTTATCTTTTATTATAATGCATAAATAGTCATTCATCATGTATAAATAACTGTTTCCATAACAACATATCTCAATTTTATGCTGTTTTCTGTAGTCCTCCTTAGCTAGCTGGCTCCTCGAATTGACCACCACAAGCTTTCATCTCCTCCCCGCACGATCTTATCCACGCCCAACTCGTTGTTTCTCAATCATGGGTGGTCTAGTGTGTGATGTCACCTAACGATTTTCTTGTCATGTGTCCGTCCTCCTTTATGGCTGTGAGACCTGGCCATTGAGAAGGGAAGACATGAAAAGATTAGCTGTCTTTGATCATAGGTGTCTGCGTTCTATCTCCCGTGTGAAGTGGTATAATAAGGTGGGCAATATTGAGGTTAGGCGTCGAGTTCTAGCTAAGTGGGAGGGGGAATCAGTTGACGAGGCCGTGAAATTACATCGACTGAGATGGTTAGGACATGTGTAACGTATGCCTAGTCATCGCCTCCCTCGACTGACGGGCAATGTTAGCTGATATAGGGTCAGGCTGGAAAAGAGCTAACGGCGGTCAGACCAAAACATGACACCAGTCAATGAAATTCACAACAATTAGTTTAAGCCAGTCACATAGGAAGGTGTGGACTTCCTGACTGGTTGGGATCCAATGATTGGAAACAATTGGTGACATGGCTCAAACACATCGTTGCCAATGGCTGGCTAGCTCAGATGCATCCACTCCTTGTGACTTATGATTTCCAATGAAACTGTTTTGTTCTTCGTTATTACTATTCCTTTGTCTCACACCTCTGTTTACTGTCTATATTATGCATTTCTCCTACTTTCTTCTCTTGCTTTGTGTGCTACAAATAGGGAGTGTGTCGACTTGAACTGCCGCACATCGGTGCAAAGTTCTATGTCGGAAACCGACCGATCGACCATCATGTGTCCGAGGCATCATCATTTTCTTCGGGTGGGGTGGGATGATGTCAAAGCCGCTAACATGCACTTGATACAATTCATTGTCTAGGCCGTGAATGTTTACATGGTTTCAGAGTGAAATCATCGTTCGTACAGCTTGATCAGACCGTTTACGATTAAGTATCTGAAACTGGAGATTAGTGGAATACTTGTTATACGTCTTCCCTGCTTTATTCGGCCGTTATTTAATTAGGTGTATGCGTTAATTTGTGTTTACTGCCTTCACAAGGCGGAGGTATTCGCAAAAAAGAGCGAGAGGACGAATAGTAACATCTGGTGCTCACAACCAGACTGGTGGACCCACTAGTCTTCTCAGGGGAGACGGGAAACTCTCGTTCCAAACCTATGGTGTCTACATAGGCTTCAGAACCTGTTTTGGTCACCAGGTACCACTGATTATGATCCGCTGCATTTTTGACCAGACTTCAGTTCAAGGAATCAGGAGACAACCGCTTAAGGCAACCATCTGTTTCGGTCTGGACATCTCGCCTTCGCACTAACTATGAGATTTTGTGTAGTGCATCTATTGGTGCCTATAATGTACCACTGAGTTTGTGTTTTATTGAATAATAATAATAATAATGAATGAGTGTTAGTTTGCTTGGAGTGTGTGGTAACGTTTCCTTTTATATGTACCATAGAATTCCACCCGCATCGGTAGCCTGTGACAAGTGGAAGATGCTTATAAAAGTTCCCGATCCTGTGTCTCTTACTTGCTTCTACTAATCAATGGTGTATCTGCAGTGCAACCTTAAGGAAGCTACTGATAAGATTTATAAGTAGTATATAGATACAGATATAAATACATATGTCATTTGCAAGTATCGAATAGCGGAGAGACGGATTTAACGGTGAAGAGAAGGAATGAACGGCGCTTATGAAACAACATGGAAAACAGAAAAGAAGGCGAAAAGAGGCACAATACGGAAGACAAAAGTAGCACAATACTGGAGATGCGTCCAGATTTTAATTCTAATATATTGTGGACGTATTTTGCCTATATCTGTACATCGTTGCCAAATACCCTTGTATTCTAGCGCTACATTTACTGATAGTCTAAAAGCTGTTAAATGCGGTTGAATATATTCTGCGAATCTTCCAACCAACCAAACTTTGACTCATCTCAAAGTCTGTACAGTGGTGGAGCTTCTATCTCGTTGAAGTTTTCCACCAACTGTGACTATAAAACTCTGCTCTCCCCAAGAACTGTCGTAGTTTCCTGTTGGAATTCGGGAATGTAATGTTCTTTATCGTCAAGATTTTCTCAGACATTCCTCTTGGCTATCTGAGATTTCATCGTGTTAATACGTGCGAGTGACTGCGGAATAGGTGTAGTACTAAGACAGTGTGAGGGTGTTATTGACCTTACCAGCCGTGTTCTAACACATACGGAGCAGACATATTCAACGATCGAGAATGTACGTTTAGCAAAAGTATGGGCGTTAGACAAATGGAGATCTTAATCATTCGGTCAATGGTTCCACATTGAAACTGATCATAAGTCACTACAGTGACTAAAGACATCGAGAGATCCGTGTGAAAAATTGTCCTGGTGGATGTTACCCCTGCAGGAGTATGACTTGACGACTTCTCTCATGTTTCAGAGGAAAAGAATTCATTGGTAGATTTTTCATCTAGACCGGAAGATAAAACTGACTTGTCGGAGATTGCTTACGGAGTATATGCATTGGAACAAGATGCATTAAGACTTGCCTGCAATCAAAGATCTGATCCCACCCTAAATACAATGAAACAGGTAATCACTTACGGAATGGAAGTGAATCGACCTACAGTGAGTGTAGAGCCAACTATACTATGCATATAGTAGGACTGAATACGATTGAACTCCTATGGAAGTTCGAACTAGAAAGGAAACTACAGAAGCTGGTTAGTGGTAATACCTCAGTCCCTATGCCAGGAGATGATTTACATATTTACGTCTGTATCTCTATACTACTTATAAATCTTGTCAGTAGTACATGTCAGAATAGTAAAAGTGTCAGTCAATAGAGAAAAACGCTTCATCCATTGTTTCATCAATACTCTCTTGCGTTGTACTCGGAGTTAACTTATCTGTTTGCCTAATATGATGTTTAATGGCTTTTCTCTTTTTTATATTATCAAGGTTATGAATTAGCAAAAATTGAACAAGTTGTCGGTACACCAGAGAAACCATTATCCGATTTAGGTCGCCTGAGTTATCGTAGTTATTGGGAGAAGGTTATTTTGAATTATTTTCTAGAGCATTCAGATTGTACTATGAATGAAATAAGGTGAGTTGTGTTTTTTTGGGAAATGTTATTGTTACAAGTGAACTTTTGATTTTTCCCGTTGATTGACTGGACGGGAGAATGTTCCACCTCTGTTGAAATGTCGACTCCTACTGAGTACAAATGCGTCGACGATGTTTGCGGAGTAACTTGAATTAATTTTGGTGGAAAGTGACAAGCAGTGGAATTCAGGATGCGAATTTCTCTCTCTCTCTAACTGGGGTTCGTCATCTGGATGTACTCTGCATTCCCCGATGGCTGACAGTATTCCCAGTGGGACCCGAAACCAAATAGCTATTGTTTCTAATATCAAAGTGTTGTCCACAAGACCACTTGGGTCAAAAGAGCCACCTCTTGTGCATTCGGATGGTTCGAACAGATTATTAAGCCGTTTTGAGCTGAGTCAATCTTAGTATACTGTTGATGAACTTGACCTCAGACAAGCGAAACCATCTTTCATTGTTTCGATCGCATCGTTGTGCAGCCAGCAAGCAATACTACTTCTGCCTTTATACTGTTTGGCTCTGGGTGGTTGCTTGTCTAATGCTCCCATCTTCCATCTCTTTCGAGCAGGGTATTGGTAGTTATTTCTTAGACCACACGGGGATGGAATCTACACCTCCCGTATAGATCGTGAGTATTGTGCCATCGAAACACACCGACTTAGTAAGTATAACTGAGAGTTCGATTGATGCACATTATGAAGTGAAAGGCTTATATTATTCTGTATTTCTTTGTAAATATTTGAAAAGGCAGAGTAATTGAGTAATTGTGTATTTCTGTTAATGCCTTATTCACCTCAAATGTTTAGATATCTTAGAGGTCAGCTCATTTTTTCTTTACAAGAAATTAGGGATTAGTAGGTACGATTTAGATATCCGGGTTGTTTTACATTTTTCTCTGAAGCAGGCAGCAAGTGGGTAGACTTCGGTCTTCCTCTCAGAATGCTGTCATGTAACCACGTGTCCATAACCTCTGCCATTTAAGTTGTATTAACCGTCTTCTCACTCTAGGACCGTTCCTCAGAACAATGAAAGGGATGAATTCGGACGTTTGGCGCTTACAACCGCTCTGGTTGACCTGCAAATCCACCTAAGGGGGGGTGTGTGAAAAATTCTAATTCCAAACCTATGGTTTACATGGGCTCCAAAATCTGAGCAAATCAAACGGTGTCTGAACCTGTTTTAGCCGCCGGAATCCATGGGGACTCTGGTGCTGACTCTGTTCCATCGCTTTGTGCACCGCATTCTAAGTCTAAATAGTATTTACTCTGTGATCACTGCGCAATCCTGTGCAATCGATTGTATTCAATCCTGGTCATTTTATAGATTAGTTAATGTGACGGTAAAGTAGAGAGCTCGCAGACCACGTCACACATGATCTGGCGTTCGATTCCCAGCCGACTCAATCTTTTAAGTCGTTAAGCCGATAGTAAGCCTGGTAAAGAGCAAAGGTTGCGCGTGAGGCTACTGAAACCCCAAAGCTTGACACTTGAGTGAGGCCCTATGTTTCACACTTGGAACATAAAGGAATAAAATTAAAAAAGAAATGTCGTGTGTTTGTTCATCACGGCAATCAGGGATAGGACTCAATGCCTTGCAGTATAATACATGCTGGATAACTTACATCTCGTTTACAAAAATTTAGTATCCGAGTGCTCATACCACAATTAGATATCTTGTCGACTCTTACACCCTTAAATCTAGAGCATAGTTAATGGTCGTTGCTGTGGTTATAACCCTAGACCTGATGTGCCTAACCGAACTCATTGTCTTGTCTAGAAACCAAAAGGAATACATAGACTTGCCCAGCCGCATGCCGGATACGAAATGTACCGTTGCTATTATGGATGGGATTAATCAAACCTAATGGCGTTGAGTCTTAATCCCTCTGATGATAGCTTCGTACCAGTTGACCTTACAACGACAGGCACTTATTTCAACTATTTGAACGAACTTGGGGTTCCTCTCTTTGTTTTATTCCTTTACGTTCTCAGTGGAACATGGGGCCTTAAGCTAGCCTTATGCCCAACCTTCCCTCTTTACCAGTCTTATTACTAGCTTGGAGGGTAAATGTGTGCGTCGACGGGGGCTCGAATCCCGAACCACCTGCATGGTTGGTGAGTATTCTACCACTGTGCTACCGACGCACGCAGTTCCTCTCGTACTAGACAGGATTAATAATGATGTAGTCATTGGTAAGCTTAAACTAACCTGTCTTACGATGGTCCAAATCATGCTCACTTTGTCTATAAGTAATGAGTGGACAATCCATCGCTTGATGTACATAGTGCTTCACAATGATTGGAAGAGTTGACATGACATCAAACACATTAGGTTTTCAGGTAGTGTGAGCCCAGACTTCGAGTCCCACGCCCCATGCCTACTTTAGTGTGGGGAACTGGAACTATTCGTCAGAATGCATACAGATATGCTTTTTAGTCCTAGTACATGAAGGATCTATTCCGATTGCATGGAGGATTTCATCATGAGCTGGCATCAGTTAGAGAACCATTGGAAAACCGCCTGGCAGTACTGGATAGCTGTTTCGTCCTAGTTTGGGGCTTTCCATCAGTACGCACCACTGGGAAACCTGAGAGTGCTGAACAGCTGTTTCATCCTACTTTGACACTCTTCATCAGTGCGTACTGTTGAAGAGTCCCAAACTAGGACGAAACAGCTGTCCAGTACTCCCAGGTGGTTTTCCTATGGTTCTCTAACTGATATCAGCTCATGATGAAATCCTCCATGCAATCGAACAAACAAAAAATCCCTACAAAACCAATACTTGAATATATTCTGACTTCGTAAAATCGCAATCAGCTTTTTTCTTTTTCTGTTCATTGATCGATTGTTTCACCTATTTTTTTTATTTTTCGTTTCTCTTGTCAGTACAAATACCTGTATTGCTATTGATGATATAATTTGGACATTACAAAATCACCCAGTGATAACAAATTGGCAATATGGTCAGCATATACACATACAACGTGATATTGTCCAACAATATCTTGACCAGTTGAATGAACAACACTCAGCTAAATTGCATTTCCATGCAGATGGTAGTAAACATCGAAAAGTTAATAAAACTTCTTATCTCCTTGATATTAGTCATTTGAAATGGGAGCCACCAGTAAAAAGAAATAACAATAATAATACTAATACTAAAGAAATTAAGTGTAATTGAATGGGTAACACAGTCGTTACGTGCATTTGCTTCTTCAGAGAGCGAGAGAAAGCCATTATCTTCTCAGTATATTATTGTTTTTACACATAAATTAATAACATCATTGAGTTTTCTTTTTTTTCAAAAAAACCCCACTTTTTTGTTATCTATTTTGATACATGATGATTACTTGTTGATTATTTATTTCTCATTTAATATACTACTTATTTCTATTTTTATTAAGATTTTTCTGGTGTTTGTGTGTATGTGTACATACGTGCTGTATTCATATAATAAATGTGCATTTATATATACATTGATAATCGGTGCATTTCTTTTACAAGTGGTTGATTTGCACGGGTCATGTCAGGTGTGAAATCAGTTAGAGAATCATTGGGAAATCATTTTTTTTGCTTCATTTCATTTATTGTGTGCCGTGCAGAATACGTGAAGGATTGATTCGCGAAGAGCAGGCTGGGTTTCGTTCAGGTCGTGGATGCATTGATCATGTGTTCACCCTTCGTCAGTTGTTGGAACACCGCCACACGTATTGCAGGCCAACGATCGTTGTGTTTCTTGATATTAGGGCTGCCTTCGATTCGTTGGACAGAACTGTGCTCTGTCTGGAATTGTCTGTTAGAGAGAGAGGTGTACCTGAGAAATTTGTTAACATCTTGAAAGCCCTATACAGAAACACCTTAGGTAGAGTGAGGGCATACAACCAACTATCATCACTGTTCGCAACCAACAGTGGGGTTAGACAGGGTTGCCTAATCTCTCCATTTCTCCTTAACTTTGCCATCGATGACATTCTGGAGTCAGCTCTGAAGGACGTGCGTGAAGGTGGTGTAGATCTGCTACCTGGAGATAGACTTTTCGACCTCGAGTATGCAGACGATATCGTCTTACTGTGCGATAGCATGCAGGCTGCCCAAATCGCACTTAGTCAGTTGGCGACCAGTGTCTGTAAGTATGGTATGTGCTTTGCACCGTCTAAGTGAAAAGTACTGTTACAAGATTGGCAGGAGCCTTTACCTGCACTCACTCTTACGGGTGAACCGCCTGAAGTTGTTGATAAGTTTGTGTATCTGGGTAGTTGTGTGAGTGCTGGCGGAGGGGTGACGGATGAGATTTCCAACCGTATACTGGAAGCTAGTGTGGCATACGTTAATTTGAGTCACCTCAGGCGCTGTCGCCACGTTAGCCTGGCGAGAAAAGGTTGGGTGTACCATGCTTTCGTGTGGGCTGTCTTGCTCTTCGCCTGTGAAACCTGGCCTCTCCGAGCTGAGGATGTGCGGCGACTCTGCGTATTCGATCATCGCTGTCTCCGCAGGATTGCTTGCGTTCGATGGCATTATCGCGCGAGTAATTCTGAGGTTTGGCGGCGCGTGTTTGAACACAGTGGAGATCACCATTCATTGAGTGTCGTCATCTGGAAACACCGGCTCCGGTGGCTTGGACATGTGCTGCGAATGTCATCCCAGAGGCTTCCGTACAGGTCTCTGTTCGCTAGCCAGCCCTGGGACGGGATGGGAAAGGTGGAGGAGTGGTCAGTCCATGACGTGGCGTCGTGGGATGAAGGATATTTGTGCTAGATTAGCATCGGTTGGTGTGTCACGACTTCCTGGTTGGGGTCCGCGAGATAGCTCGAATTGATGGCTCGAAACGTTATCGGATATGGCCAAGAATCGTAATCAATGGCGAATGCGTTGCAATTTCCTTCTTTCTTCCCTTCCTGATGATAGTTAGCGAATACTGTTTGAACTTGTTAAACATGACTGTTTTCCTTCCAGATGAAGTTCTTTATCCGTTCTCTGCACCTATATTTTTTACTGTTAATCTATGTTGTTTTATTATTATTGTGTGGCGCATCTTTCTTGGTGCCATATTGTACCAAGTATTTTCTGCGTTTAAATAATAATAATAAATCATTGGGAAACTACTATCAAGGGGTATCCCGTGTGAAGTGGTATAATAGAGTGAGCAGTGTTGACGTTAGATGTAGGTAGAGTGCTAGGTAAGAAGCGGGGGGGGGGAAATCCAATCGACGACGAGGTTGTGAAGTTACATTGATTGAGATGGTTAAGACATGTGTTACGTATGTCTAGGCATCCATCTCCTTCCTTGACGGTCAGGTCAATGTTAGCTGACATAGGATGGATCAGGTTGGTAAAGGGCGAGTGGTGGCTTCATCAGTCAATGAAATCCACAAAAGTTAGTTTAAACCAGCCACCTAAAGATGTGTAGATTGCTGTCTGGTCGGGGCTCTCGGGATCTTAAGAACTAATGTTGGTTGGAAATCGTTCTCAATGGCTGGTGCAGATGCATCCACTCCTTGTGCTTTATAATATCTGATAAAACTATATATTGTTCTTCCACATTACCATTCTTTTTGTCCCATATCTCTGTTTTGAATCCCTTTTTATTCTCTTCTCTTGCGTTTTGTGCTATGTGAACTGTTTCGCATCTGTGCAAAGTTCTACTTTGAAAACAGTCAGTCAGTCAGTCACTATAACTGTTTTGTCCTATTTTCGGACTCTTCAGCAATATGCACCCATATGAGTTTGAATCGAGGAACTCCCGGTTATAAGGCGAACTTGTAGGACCATTCCGCTACTGGGATCTGATTCATTGGCCCATGAATCCAGCTTTTCGCATCTATCATCCCAGTTTGACAGTTCGATTCCTAGCGGGTTGGGACATGGGTGCATACCGATGAAGAGTCTCCAAGATGGGAGAAACGGCTGTCCAGTACTCCTTGGTTCACTCCTTGTTTCTCCAACTGAAGTCAATTCGTGGTCATAATCGATATGTACTGTTTTTTTAAACATATAGAATTCGAATCCTTATTGACAGTATATGGCATGAAATTGTTAAATGTAAATAATTAATTGGGTGGAACGTTTCAAAGGGTTTGTCACTCCATCTGTTTCGCGGGTGGGGTAGTGTGGGGTGGATTTGTGATAAAGCCCAAATTAGCGTAGATAAAACAAGCCAGTTTTCGGCACTGCTCATCAAATTATTTCGTTTCTGATGCCAACAGTAGTCAGACGTCTAACTATCTATCCAAAAGGTTTATTATATTATTTATTATATTATCGAAACACAATCTTAGTACATCATGGGCACCAGACTAAATCTGATAGTTTGTACGAGGGCTGGGATATCACCCTGACGATCAGACCGAACCAGGCGGTTGTCTTATGGAGTCACCCCTACCCCAACCCTTCGACTTGAAGTCTGATCCGCAATGCAGTGGACAGGCATCAGGAGCTAGATCCCCATGGTTGACAGTGACTAAGACTTGTTCATGTAACGTTCGATCCGTTCAGATTGTGTAGTCGATGTAGACAATAGGTTTGGAATCACGGTTTTCCAAACCCCCCTTAGGTAGACTAATATGTTCACCAGTCCGGCTGCAAGTGCCAGATTTTCTCATTCGCCGTTTCATTTTTGTGTGGGACACCCCTGTCGCAGTTTCACTGATGACTCAAGAACATTAATGTCAGTAAAAAGTTTAAGCATTGTGGAATAGATCAAATAAAGTATAATTATATTTCAATGGTTTACACACAATGATAAATTTTGTTATTGGTAATATTTCGAGCAAAATTACTGCCCGTGTTCAAACTGCTGTTGGAATTGTTTTGTTTTTTAATTCACACATTTATGATTTGTACTCATGTATATAATTCATTTTTTTTTCCATTCATTTTTGTGTATTCAGAATTATATTCCACGTTGTTGACAGTTGTGCTGCTGAGTCACCCTTGTTACATATATCTGGTGTGACCTTAATGCATATAGATTCTTTTATAAATCTCTTTTCCATTTGTTCATATTAGTTTTTAGAATACACAAACATTGTTCCACTCGATATTGTGGCTTTTGTCCCATGCATGTGCAGCTATAGATGAATTTTTTTCTAAATTCTTGTAAGCTTGTGTACCTGTTGGTTGACCCTTAGTTTAGGCGTTAATGTTCATTCACTCTTATTTTGAGTGATCTGGCCGTTTGACCCACATATTTAGTCAAACACTCGGCACAAGATATCTGTTTATAAATCAAATTGTTTTTATCCATCATTTTTATGGGATCTTTCAGTGGATTTATTTGATTTTTAATAAAATTCGTCGGTTTAAACGTGGTGCGAATCCCAATATTTTCGAGGTTTCTGCGAATTGCCTCTGATGTACCATTTTTGTATGGTATCGTGACTGTTTTTTGCCTTCTTCCATCTTGTTATTCTCCGGTTTTACTCTCTTTTTTCTCTTTTTTATATTATTTATAAATTCTTTTGGGTAGTTGTTTTCGAGTAGCATTTTGAATAGGACGTTTATTTCTTTACGCTAGTCCTCTGGTGTTGTTGTAAGTCTACGTATTCTATCTGCAAGACCTTGTATTAATCCTCATTTTACTGTGAGTCGATGAGCTGAGTGATAATCAAGGAATCTTCCAGGGTGTGTGGTTTTTCTATATAGCGTCGTTTTTATGCTACCATCTGTTATTCTTCGTATTTTGCAGTCTAACATAGGTAGTTCCCCAATTTCATTCTCTACTTCCATAGTGAATTTTATTGAGTCGACATAGCTGTTTATGTGTGAGAAGAGTTTTTCAATATCATTTTTTTCACTATTACTAGTGTGTTGTCTATACATCACCAACATCTTAGTGATGACCTGAATGGTTTCAGTGCATTCTCCTCCCAAAAATCCTTCATTTTGTTGGTATATTTTTCCTTCAAATGTGAAATATGTTGTTGTCAGACAGAATTCCACCCCTTTTATTATCTCTTCTACGGATAACTGTGTTCTGTCTTTTAGGCCATTATCTTCTTTTAGTCTCGTTTTCAGTGCATTCTTCATGGCCATTTGAATGGGTATTTTCGTATAGAGGCTGTTTACATCAAAGCTGACTAGTATTTCCTCTTCCTCTATTTTAGTGGCTTTTATTCGTTTCACTAATTCAAATAAATCTACTATTGTAGCTTTTGAGTTGTCTCTTGTCGGTCTTAGTATTGTTGAGAGAAATCTTGACAGCATATACGTTGGTGTGCTTCTAAAGTCTACAATCGGTCTTATTGGATATGCCTCTTTATGCAATTTTATTTTACCATATATCCTAAGCATATTACATGATTTTGGTATAATTTCAAACCATTTTAACTTACCAATTACTTCTTTCATCTGTCTAACTACTTTTGCTGTTTCTTTCATTGTTTTGTTTGTGATTGTTTCTGATGATTTCGTCATTAAGGTATAGGATGCGGA